CGATGCATACTCTTCTTATTTGCTAAGTTAATTAGACAGATCTATTTGAATTGATTCCCTTTACAGAAAGAGAAATTTCTTAACACACCAGGTAAAGCAGCAGTCAACAGAAGCAGAGAAAAAACCTGACCTATTTAGCTTTAATTGTGAACATAAAGGTAAATTTTTATGATAGAAACCAAAAACTATTCTACGGGTAGATATAGCCCGTCTTCAGAAAAAGAATCTCATCTGGTCTCCTAAAAAGAACATGGGCAACACCACGGTTTTATGACTGCCATGCTCTGATACAGTAATTTCATGGTTATAAAATCAATGAATCTATCACATCAGTCTTGAGACACTCTACCTTATCAATAAAAAGGAGTAGAGTTGTTTCCTAGGGCTTTAATTCTTGTACCACTTGGTTTTTACCAAAAAAGAAAAATAATTGTTTTGAATGTTAGACATTATCTAGACACCCCAGCTTTAGTGAGAGACACAATCCCCAGGACATTATTATTCCAAATAGGATAAAATGGCACATTGGGCTAGGAATCATGTAGGCCAGGCTATTATTTATGGATTATTATTATTATGAATCTTATCACATGACAGTCTACTTCACTGAAAACTTGTTTCACTGAAAGGCTTTCCTTAGCAGTGCTTACTAGCTTTCTAAGTAAATTTCAGTTAAAAGTTTGCTCCAGCACCTTATTCGGCCTTTAATGGCTGTTAATTACATTCTTCACGCCTTCTGAGTTAAGAGATGGGAAATAATTTTACACACATAAGCAAACCCTAAACCAATGTTTGGTTCTTAGAAACTAGTTCCAGCATTGCTTAGAAAGAGAAATAAAGTAGAAACCCCAGTGAGGTGGAAGCAGCATGGTCTGTTTTGTGACTTGTAGCTTAGGATGGTAACAAATCACTGTCTAAGGTAGAATGGAAGGTGTTTTTCAGGTGGCTTGAAAACTTGGGCCAGATATTGTGTGTTAGAGAATATGTCCACACAATGCGACGCCCGTGTTAAAGTATGCAGAGCTGAGCATACACTCAAATGAACATGAGTAAAATCATCTTGAAGACGACCACTATGAAGATGGTACATGATCGAAGCCAAGGTGTTAGTGGTTTCGTCTTTCCATTTCGAGTCCCTTGCATGCCACTGTTGTTTGGCAGGGTTGGGGTTGCCTTTATGGCTGCCTAAAGGTCTTTTCTTTCACGAGCTTGCTAGTGGGCATAGTGGAAGTTTTTCTCTGGTGATTGCCTGTCAAAGTACATAGAAGTCTTCACATATTGTGAGCAAGATTTTTTTTTTTTTTTTAAAGAAACCTTTGAATCCCAGGCCTCTTTTCAGAAAATTGAGAGGATCTTGAAGCTATAAAAGGGAGAGAGGGAAGAGGCATTCACCAGTGGGAGAAATGGAAGGCTAAAAATGAGATGGCCCCATTATGTTAATAAAACAAGGTCAGACCAAATGTGATCGCCTGGCTGGGTGATTTTCTTTGCCCACTTAGAATGAATCACTCCATTTATTTAGTGGACAGCCATCAAGTTCAGAAGAAGTATTAAAGGAAATGTATTTATCTGTAAAACAACCACCTAGAAAAGTTATTTTAGCACTTTGAATACAAAGCTAGAATTCATCCTTTTTCATATAGTGAAGTATTTCCAGTGTTTAGTTTTATTTTGTTTTGGTCAGAACTAAAAATTGAACTGATGTATTCAGTTTTACCATGCCCTACTATAGAGGAAACAAGAATTATACAACATATATCTGCGAATACACCCCGTAGGATACATTAGCCAGCTTTCTCATTCTGTCTTCATTTCCTCCTGAACATATATATATTTTCTTAAGCTCTTCTTTAAAAAGTAAATATTTTTCATAGTCCTCTTAAATCCACAAGGATTTACTCTGAATCGCTATTTAATTCATGGTGTTTTTAAATCCTTTTCAATAAATCTCCCTATATTTACAACTGAATCAAAACAGTAAAACATTTCATAGGGTATGTTCTAGACACCACTTTATAATCAGCATATAGATATGACAACTGGTATTTATAAGCACCCACTGACATTATGACACTATATTGTACAAACACCCAAAAATATATTTTTCCATTCTCACCATTTTCTGTACTCACTTTTCATAAATAAGAAGGAAAAAAAATAATGAATTCTTGGCAAAAGGTTTTAGATTTTGTTAGTTGAGTCTGAGTCTGTCTGAAGACTTGGCATTGCCTGTAACATGGCAAAAACCAAGTTAGAAATTATCTGTACAGTCAAACTCTATTCTCTATCTGAAAGTTTTCTAATTTAATTAGCACCTAGGTGGGATCCCAGAGTTCTTGAACAAATCCCATACTGTACATGCAGGTAAATGAGTCTTACAGATTTGGAAGTGCCCCTTGCTGTAACCTCTTTTAACTTGGCTTGGCACAGTGACTCACGTCTCTAATTCCAGTGCTTTGGGAGACTGAGATGGGAGGACTGCTTGAGCCCAGGAGTTCAAGACCAGTCTGGGCAATATAGCGAGGTCCTATCTCTACAAAATTTTTTTTTAAAAGATTAGCCAGATGTGGTGGCATGTGCCTTATAATCCTCACTACTAGAAAGCTAAGCAGAGCCCAGGAAGTCAAGGCTCCAGTGAGCTAGGATTTCACCACTACACTCTAGCCTGAGTGATAGAGTCTCTGTCTCTAAACAATATGTAAATAAAATTTAAATTTAAAAAATAATCTCTTCCAACTTGACATAGAGAAAGTGCTTAAAGACTCTCTGCCCTGTGAATACAACTTTTTTTCAGCATCTACTACATGTAAGACACAGTGATACATAGGAATTCTCATCTGTTTGCTACTGGGACCCATAATTAAAGACATGCTGTTATATTTAGCTATATTAATGTGTTATTATTCAGGCTTCATAATTAGGATATGAACTTCTAGGCCCAGGAGGAAGAGTTATAAAATGAGCCAAGTAAACTTGGCTGTGGTGCATATATGAGCACTGCAGTTAAATAAATAAAGTTATTATCAAAAGCACGTAGATGTATTTTAAGGATCTAGAGAAGAGAGAGCTGACATTAGCTCCTGTCTTGTAAATTACCAGGCCAAATAACCTGCATTTGATTCTGTTTGGTAGAACATACTAATTCCCTTTTTAGCACCTTTTGTGTAATGTTTTGTTGTGAAAAATCTGTTTTAACCCAGCCTTTTATATTAGAACTAATATAAGCAGACAGCAGATTTCTTTATTCATGTATGAGCATTTACCTTTTTCTGGATTATTTATACCCTGTCTTCCTAACTGGACTAACAGAGCATTTCTTCTGGGCCCTTAAAATTAGACTTGGTTATGTCAGTTGGATTTTATTTCTAGGATCTCAACTTGTTTTCAAATTACTTTGTTCTTTACAATTTAGCTATCTTCATATGTCCTCTCAGAACATAGTTAAGGGGTTAATAAATTACTACTTTACTTGCTAACCCCCTTTTTCATGAAAATACAACAATTCACTAAATGACAAATGAGGATATGAGCAGAAGGAAGAGATGATGCCTTAAAGAAGCTCTTTCTGGCCAGGTGTGGTGGCTCACGTCTATAATCCTAGCACTTTGGGAGGCCAAGGCAGGAGAATTGCTTGAGCCCAGGTATTCAGGACCAGCCTAGGCAACATAACGAGACCCTGTCTCAATAGAAAATAAAAAAAATTAGCCAAGTGTGGTGACACATGCCTGTATTCCCAGCCACTTGTGAGACTAAGGCAGAAGGATCACCTCAGCCCAGGAGGTCGAGGCTGCAGTGAGCTGTGATGGTGTCACTGCACTCTAGCCTGGGTGAGATCCCTGACTCAAAAAAAAGGGGGGGGAAGCTCATTCCCTGAACATTAATAGTATTTATTTTCACTAGTTCCAGATTCAGAAATTTTCTCCCTAGTCTAGTAAATATTAGAAAGAAAAGGTTGAACATCAAAATAAACATAGGATAAAGAGCTGACCCTAATAGTCACTGAACCATGGGCCTTTAAATGCTGTGTAATAGAATGGTTCTCCCTTGGAAGGTTGGCTTGGAAGCACATTATTATTATGGGGGGTGAAGAGGATCTGTCCCTTCTGCTGAGATTACAGATTTGATCAGAACTATAGATTAAAAACGAGACAGTCCCATTTGCTAATCAGCTTTATTCTCAGTAGGCTCAAAACTAAACTGTTCAAGGCAAGCCTAACCATGGCCTTTTTAGAGCTTCTGGGATAAAGCGCCCTTCTCTTTATCAGGAACCAATTACTTCCTATATAAATGTTGCCATTTAGGTAGGGTTTGTTTTAACTGATGTCACGATATATTCTGTTCTTTTTTTTTTTTTTTTTTTTTTTTTGAGTTGGAGTCTCACTCTGTCTCCCAGACTGGAGTGCAGTGGCCGCTCCCAGCCACCGCAGCCTCGACCTGCTGGGCTCCGGTGATCCTTCCGCCTCAACCTTCCAAGTAGCTGGAACTACAGGCGCGTGCTACGTAATGAAGCAGTTTATCTCTAAACTTTAAAGTAGGCTGGGGTGCAAGTAGGCTGGGGTGCTTTGGCTCATGCCTGTAATCCCAGCACTTTGGGAGTGGAGGTGAGAGGATTGCCCGAGCCCAGGGGTTCGAGACCAGCCTGGGCAGCATAGCAATGCCTCGTCTCTACAATAAATAAATTTTTTTAAAAAATTAGCCAGGCATAGTGGTGCACACCTGTAGTCCCAGCTACTCAGGAGGCTGAGATGGAAGGATCACCTGAGCCCAACAGGTCCAGGCTGTTGTTAGCCGTGATCATGCCATTGCACTCCAGCCTGGGAGACAGAGTGAGACTCCAACTTAAATATTAAATAGAGAGAGAGAGAGAGAGAGAGAGGCTTTTTTAAAATCTAAAAATGTGGTAGATTTTTTAAAAAACAAACTAAATAAAAATCTTTTGAAGCAGCATAAAAAAAATTAAAATGTGGCAGACGATGACAGTTAAACTTTGGTGTTTCCAGAACCTGTGAAACCCCCCGGCAGCTCCTTACAAGCGCCCGCTGATTTGCCTTTGGCTATAAGTACTGCGCCACCATCCACCCAGGCGGATCCTTCCTCTGCTGGTCTACCTCCTCCCTATCAACTGATCAACGTTCCACCACACCTGGAAACTCGGGGCCTCCAGGAGGATCCCCAAGACTACCTCTTGCTAATCAACTGTCAAAGCAAGAAGCCTGAACCCGCCAGGTAAATTGTATGTGCCCGTGTTTGTGTGTGCACGTGTGAGAGTCTTTCAGCTTTTTAAACCTCGACTTGCAGGTTTCAGGGAAACGTGTCTGTAGGTGTATGTGTCAAGCTTGTAGATCAGTTGCATATTTCTCTCTTCATGATTTCTGATGTTCGAGAGAGCTTATTGGAGAACCACAGTCTCTGCCGTCTTTGGCAGAGGACAGTGGTACCCATGAGCCTCTTTGGGAAGTCTGGCAACTGTCTTGTGGTCTTTGTCGAGGATGCATCGTCCGACTTGCTTAACAGACTTCACTGATCGGTAAATGGTGACCTTACTCCATTTCTTATGTGATTGTAAACCAGCCAAGGGTCATCTTTTGTTTCTGAAGAAGGAGAGGAATACCTACTGCTGGAAGATTTTGAAAGCAAAACGATTCCGTTGCAGTGAGTGTGTTGTGGTTGTTTGGGGTTTGTGTGAGAAATTAATCATGCAGGTAAAATCCCAATATAGCAAACTCTACAGAGTGTACAAATTGGAGCTTAGTGAAGTTTGAGGAGATAAATATATTGCTGAAAACGATGAGACTTTCAAGTTTCATAGCTAGCTAGCAATGAAGCAGAGCTGAGCCCAAATCTTTTCTTTACACATTTTTAAGTAGAAAGAAGCATACGGAGTGCAGTGCTTGATGGGAGGCATCACAGAGGCTTTCCCAAATCCTTGGTTTCCCTACTGGTCCCACTCCTGCTACTACTCCCTCTCCTCTTCGGAGCTGGAAGATATGTTAATGGATCATTCTTGTCATTTGACGTTGAATACCTGGAAGGCTTAAGGTGACAGAGGAAGTTAGAGGGCAGTTGTTTTCCTGCTTTAAAAAGGAGGAGGAAGCCGGGCTCGGTGGCTCAGCCTGTAATCTCGAGCCTTTGGGAGGCTGAGGTGAGTGGATTGCCTGTGCCTGCGGGTTCAAGACCCGCCTGGGCAGCGAGACCTCATCGCTACAATAAATAAAAAAATCAGCCAGGCGTGGTAGCGCATGCCTGTAATTCCGGCTACTTGGAAGGCTGAGGTGGAAGGATCGCTGGAGCCCAGCAGGCGAGGCTGCGGTGGCCAGGAGCGGCCACTGCACTCCAGTCTGGGCGACAGAGTGAGACTCCAACTCAACAAATAAAAAAATTTTTAAAAATTAAAAATAAAATTTAAAAAAAGGAGGAGGAAAGTGATAATCAAGAGGTTAGCCTCTGCTGTTCATAGCTATGTGACAATTAGTGATATCAATCAGTTGGATGTATTTATTTATTTTTTGGGTTAGGGTCTCCCGCCCAAGCTGGAATGCAGTGGCATACTCATAGCTCACCACAGCCTTGACCTCCTGGGCTCAGGTGAACCTCCTTCCTCAGCCTCCCAAGTAGCTGGGACTACAGGCATGTGCCACCACACTCAGCTAATTTTTAATTTTTTTTTTTGTAGAGACAAGTTCTCGCTATGTTGCCCAGGCTGGTCTCGAACTCCTGGGCTCAAACAATCCTCTCTCTTCTGTCTCCCAAAGTACTGAGATTATACTGAGCCATCATGCCTGGCCATATTTATTTACAGCATAAGAGCAGGGGTGAATTGCATAATAGACATGAAAGATATTTTTAAAACAGGATTATAAGATATTAAGCATTATTACTTTTAAGACAAAAAAGTTTTTTTTTTTCAAACTTGAATGTAATTGCTACTGGACTAGGATCAGACAATGTACTTGGTTAAAAAATTTTTATCTAGAATTTGTTAAGACCCACAAATAGTTTCTGTGAACCATGCCCTGAAATGATGGAAACGTGGAAACACACATATTCCAAAGATGGTGTTTTTTTTAGATTAGAAAATATAGTTTATTTAGAAAGTAAATTAGAGAGAGAGAATAGAGAAGAGCTTCATCTCCCCAAGGTAGGGGAGAGGTCCAAAGCTAGGAAACATGGCAACCCTAGCTCAAAGAGCCATGCAGCCAGACCAGAGTTTAGCAAAGCATTGGCCCAAAGATGGGTTTCTGTATATTTGTTGTAATGGGATTTGACCTATAAGAGCAACAACAACAACAAAAATTCTAAATCAATACTCGATAATATCAAATTCTAACTTGATTTTGCTTGTTTGCTGTGAGTATTTACAATGACACACTTGCAACTTTGTTACCTATGCTACTAACTGAGATTTTATTCTAAGGAGATTCATAGGCATTTTTCAGTAACAACTTTTACAAAGCCAACCACTAAGTGACAGTTTTCAGGACATTTTCTTTTTCTTTTTTCTTTTTTTTTTTTTTTTTAGTCGGAGTCTCACTCTGTCCCCCAGGCTGGAAGGCTGGAGTGCAGTGGCACACTCATGACCACCGCAGTCTCAACCTGCTGGTCTCAGGAGATTCTTGCGCCTTCACCTTTCCAAGTAGCTGGAACCACAGGCATGTGCCACCACACCCAGTTAATTTTTTTATTATTTATTATAGAGACAGGGTCTCATCAAGTTGCCCAGGCTGGTTTCAAACTCATGGGCTCAAGCAGTCCTCTCACTTGGCCCCCCAAGGTGCTGGAATGACAAGCGTGAGCCACTACACCCGGCTTGTGCAAGGGTTTTAAGGCAGAGAAAACAGTGAGAATCTTCCCAGGGGGCAAGTAGGAATTGAACTATACCTAGTTGGTGAGAGAAAAGGAGGATATTAGCCATTTGTACAAAAACAGCTTGAAGGGAAGAATGAGCCAGGCTCGGTGGCTCAGCCTGTAATCCCGTGCCTTTGGGAGGCTGAGGTGAGTGGATTGCCTGAGCCCGTGGGTTCGAGACCCGCCTGGGCAGCGAGATCTCATCTCTACAATAAATCAAAAAA